TCCTTGGTGACAGGTGTGGGAATTCTGATACACAGGTAGTTGTGCAGGTGGCACAAGGCAGTGGGTGGCTTTACAATCACACAGCTCTGGGTTCAAATTCTGCCTCCACTGCACACTGGCGATGAGACCTTCAGAGTCTCTTCACCTCCCCAAGCTGCTGATCAAAACGTGGCGAGAGGAAAAGTTGCCACAAGGGGCTGACGTAAGAATCAAGAGAGGCAGAGTGTGCAAACCCATCCTGGCTGGCCAAGTGTCTCACCCCAGAGGACGGGACATTGGGGGCTCTGGAGCCTGGGCAGCCTAGGCCAGACCCAGTGAGGCTTCAGGGGACAAAGTTGTTGCCAAGCAAATCCTACCACCTTGCGGCGCCTGTGCCCAGGAGCCCATCCCACCCAGCCTGAAGCCCCACCTTCCCCCTCCACCTCCAGTCGGCTGCTGCTTCTGGGGGTATCCCCCTCTTCTCTGCTACCCCAAGGCTTCTTGACCTGGACCAAACCCCTAACCCCAGGGTGTTCTCAACTTTATCTACTAGTCCTGTCATCCTCAAAGACCCCTGCTCTCAATGGTCCTCATCGAACAGTTTTAGGGCTGCTTTCTGCCTCTGGGGTCTTCCCCCACCTCAGTCCTTCTTCAGCCATGAAGCAGCTACTTGAGGCCTGGGTGAGTGACTTTCCCGTTATCAGCGGTGTGCCTGTACTCCCCAGTCTTTACAGAGTATCCCTATTCTGGATACTTCTGGAAGCAAGGACAAGAGCCGTTTCCTCCTTCACTTCCTGTGGTCTGAAGCCCTGACATTCCAAGGCAGGCAGGAGGTGAGTGACAGCCTGAAGTGACGGGCTATTAACCAGGCTTCTGGGAAATAAAGCAGAGAGGGGTGGTGGACTGAGGCTGTCCTGAGATTTCAGGCAAACAGGCTTTAACTTGCTGTGTGTGCTTGCAGCTTAGGGATCTGTGAGCTCTCAATAATTGGGTTGCTGACCCTCCAGCCACGCTCCTTTTCCCCCTGCTGGGGTAATAGAATGGGTCAGCGAGTCCATTCTGTTTTTAGTGCCCCCTAATTCTATGCCTAACAGTGGCTCTGGATTTCCTGGCCTAGGAAGGGAAACACGCCCAACCAGATGGATGTGGTTGGGACTGACCTGCCATCCATCCATTTTGAGACTGCCTGATGGAATCCATTAATGTCCAAATTACCCATGTCCCTTTCCAAATAGGTCAGAAATGCTTGGCTGTCACATGTATAACCGGGAAAAAGGTGAGAACGGGAGTTGTAAAAGCTAAAGATGATACAGCTGAATTCCGGAGAATTTTGGAGCCTAAATATGTTGGAAGGAGGGAAGCATTTACTGAGTGTTTATAACAAGCCATGCATGATGCTAAGTACTTTCACATAAATTATCACATTACCTGTGAAATAGTATCATCTTCGTCTTACCAACGACAAAGATGAAGTTAAGAAAGGTTAAGAACTAGCTCTGTAGGCAGATCTGAGTTCATATTACTAGTGAGTAACTCTAAGCAAGTTAACTAAACCTCTTTGAGTCTATTTTCTCATCTATAAAATAAGAATAGCAGTGCTCACTCTGATTTAAATAGAAATATATGTGTAGGGATGGGCTCCAGCCCAGCTCCTGGCACTCAGGGGTCTCTCCACTGTTGTAAATAGTAACAGTACTTGTAATCAGCCTAAGATCATGAAACAAATTCAAACCCAGGTTTTCTAATTCCCAAGTTCAGTGCTCATGAGAAAAGATGCTGATTCACTTAAATAATTTTTGAGTATGGTCATGAGGCTGGCTCTGCCCCAGGATTTGGAAGTTCAGTTATGCATAGGAGCCAGACCAACGACTCATTGTCCTATGAAGTGCCAAGGTGCACATTCAAGGTGCAGAAATGCAGGTGACTCTTGAGGACACATTACCAGGAAAACAGGTTTATAAAAGTGGTGATATTTTCTCCATAACACCAGCAAAGGGGAAAAACAGAAATGACTGAAAATCATTGAGGAAGAAATGTTCATATGGGGGCTAAAATTCTGCAGGAGACTTCTAGTGAGCTGGGGGGTCTGTTTCACATGGTACACACACACACAGAGCAGCAGCATTTCTCTTAGGTACACAAACACACCTCAAATTGTAACTCCCAACACCCACATCACGCACTGTACTCTTTCCTCCTCCCACTATTTTCTTTAAAGACAGAAAACATCATCTTTTACTTTGTTCCTTGGCAATCTTCCACCCAAGGATATACTAGAAACATTTTTTGGTCTTGTCTGGCAGCCAATGGAAGATTCAGGCTGGCACTCAGCATATATGGTCACTTCTGCTATAATGCTGAAAACACTTGGATTCTGCAAAATCACACTCTGACAACAGGGCTTCTGAGGAGTGGGGGCTGGGGAAGACCACTAATCTATAGAATTCTGTAGCCAGGGCACTAACAAAACAGAATCTAGTCCCACAAGGATGCTAATGCAGTGAAGCCCCCGCTGGCATGTGCCCTGATCCCTAGCAACCTTAAATCCTGGGGTTTCATTCTTCTTCCTAAGATGTAGGTTCTCTGAGGTGTCAGTCCTAACAGAGACCAGTTCCATCAAAATCAAAAATGTAGTCCAGGATGGGCCACCTCTTCATCAATTTTGTAAAACAAAGTGGGGTGGGGTGGGGTGGAGCTAGGGGATCCCCCTTCCACTCGGTTTCCCCAGACAGCCTAACCCAGTAAAAAGGCTGGTGGTGAGTCTTGAAGCTACTAAACTAGCCACTACTTGCAATAAAGGAAGGCACTTCTATACAATTTTCAGTTTTTCTTAGGGTATTCCATCCTGTTTCTGGTCACTTCAAAATATTAATGTCTGAGGAAAATCTCACAGGAACTAACCTAATTTCAGGTTATCCAGACACCATTTCTCTACATACCAATTTTACATGTGCTATTTCCCTTTAAAGAAACAACTCCGTAACAAAACAGACCATCTTATGAATGGTCATTAAAATTCTGGTACCAACTCAAGTGTGGGTTTTTTTTTTTCTTATACCAAGCAACTCTCAGGCCGAGCTAGGTGTCCTCCAATTCATCTCAGTTCTGACACTGTCTACCTGAAGAAAGCATCAGATCCCACGAGTTAAGGACTCCATCCTACAAGACCCCTTCACCCCTCTTCAGGTGTCAGTTGCAAGTCCAAGTGGTCACTTGTGCTTCTGATCAACTGGCTATAAACTGGAGATTCCAAGGACCTCATCTTGGGTGCAGTTAATTTGCTAAAGCAGCTCACAGAACCCAGAGAAACATTTTACTTATTAGAGCACTGGTTTATCACTGAGGGATATAACTCAGAAACAGGCAGATGGAAGAGCGCACAGGGCAAGGGATGGGGAAAGGGCTCAGGGCTTCCACGCCCTCTCCCAGGACACCACTCTCCCCAGAGCTCCATGTGTCCACCAGCCCCGATGCTCTCCAAACCCCGTCCTTTTGGGTTTTATGGAGGCTTCATTACATAGGCTATGACTACATCACTGGCCACTGGTGATAGAACTCAATCTCTAGCCCCTCCCCGGAGGTCAGGGGTGGGACTAAAGTTCCAATTGTCTAATCACATGGTTGGCTCCCCTGGCAACTAGCCTCCATCCTTAGATTACCAAGAGGCTTTCCAAGTCACCTCATCAACATAACAAAAGACATCCTTATGCTCTCATCACAGGAAATTCAAAGGGTTTTAGGAGCGCTGTGCCGGGAATGGAGAGGAGGACCAAATATGTATTTCTTCTTGTACATCATGAAATCAGTCATGAAATTAGTCACCACCTCACCCTGGTGATTCCTTCTCTTCCAGGTTAGAGGTCCCTGAGGTGAACATGCAGTGAGTTCACATACACAACTCACTCCGAGACCCAGGAAGGGAAATGCGTGCCTGGTCCCATGGCTGCCCTCACCCTCTCCCACTGCCCAGGCTTCACTGCAGAGGTGTCACTGCTGCCCATGAAATCTGTAAGCCTTAGCTGGGGCATCATCCCTCTGGAACAAGTTGAAAGCAGGCATGCAGGAGGCAGGGGAAGGATGGACTATCATGACCAGGCACCTCAACTTCAATCACCAAGAGCAACTTTCCCAACACTGTGTAAGAACACGAGGCTACACGTGACGCAGAAACCACATTTCACAAGCTTACATCGTACAAGCCGGTCCGTTTCATCCAAAAGGCTTTCTGAGAGGATACCAGAAGTTTTATAGGACCCAGGACTGCAGCCTTGCTATTGGAACCACTATTCTGAGCAGAAAGGCACATGCCTGAGACCTTCCCTCTCTTCCTCTCATTTAGCAAATGCTCACTGAGTGCCCTCCATGTGCCAGGAACGGGGACAAACGGTGACCCAAGCAACACAGAGAGGTCAAGAGCCTCGACCCAAAGGCAAGAGGTCAGGTTCTCCTCCTGTACCATCAGTCACCTACAGTAAGACTCTCAGCCAATCACATCTGGCTGTGACCCTCAGCCCCCCAACCACTGTCTGTAAAATGGAGACACAGGCTGACCTCACATACTTCACATGACTGTTTCAAAACACATAAGCTGTGATTAAACTGTTTAAATATAAAATGCTTTAAAGAAAAAAGAAAGTAGGAATGAAAATAGGAAGGAGGGGAGGGAAGGAGTGAGGAAGGGGAAGGGAAGGAAGCAAAGTAAAGCAAGGAAAAAAGAGAATCATTTCCTAGGCTAGACTGATATACTTTTACATCAAGTAAAAAGAAATACAAAACAAAATGACTAAGAAACTACATAGCACTGGGTTTTGTTTCATGAGCCTTGAAGCTTTCACAGAACTCAAGGCTTTTGATTCATTTCTTTCTGTGCTTTCTTCATGGGCCCAGGAAGCCAGCTGATTCACTACAAAGTAATGCAACACGACTCAGTTACCAGCCTGGAAGAAAAGGCACCCTAAAAGGGGGCTCTCTCTTCACAGGGAGAAGCCAGGAGTCCTCAAAGGACAAATCAGCCGAGACCCACACAATAATAAACTCGTTTATTTCTCAGAGTTTAGTTTGCCGCTTGACATTCTCTGCAAAGATGAGGCAACCCCACGACATCCGTTCTTCAGGCCAAACCGCAGACCCATCCGAGCACTGACCACAGGCAGCTCAGTCCATCAGAGGTCCAAGAGAAACCTCTTAACCTGGGCCAGGTATTTTGGTTTCAAATAGTCATCCAGCTCCTCCTTACTGACCCATACATGGTGGCCCTTCTTCCCGGCCTGGGAAAAGTCTCCAGTTAGTAGTAGTGCTTTAAAGAAGAATATTTTGGCCCCAAGGCTGCTCTCTGTCCGCACTGCCTGGGGGAACTTGAACTTGTAGTGGCCACAGGGTGCATTTCCCAGGAACTTGGCTTCCATGTTGTTTTCTGAGGGAGGAGGGGAAACAGAATCGGAAGATGAGGACACACCCACCTGTTTACTCTGGTGCCCAAAATCATCAGGGTCTCTGTGAGAGTCACTTCCGGCCTGAAGTACAAAGCAATCCCTGGGAGTGAGAGCTCGGGTCACTCCTGAAGACCCTCGTCTCCTCTCAATGCAAAGGCTCCCGATTCAGAGTCCACTCCTCTTGCCAAGCTACTGCTCTCAGGCTGAGGCCAGCAATGCAGCTCAAACACCACCACCGGGGAGTCAGAGCCCCGAGCTTCTAGACTCAGCCGGGTCACTAGCTGTTGACAAAGGACCAAGACACTCGGTATCTGTAAAGCAAGGTTCGTCAGCCTTTTAAACGGAGTGTCTCATGGAAAGCATAAAAAGGACCCGATTTGACTGCTGCAGGGTGAAAACCAAAGTTAAAAGGCAAAGACAGATGGACAGATGATATCTGCAATCTACAACAAAGGGTTAGTAACCCCAACCCAGCTTTTCAAAGGATGAGGAAATGACGGATGAATTACTAAATGGCACTGGGAGGATGGACTAGCTAACAGGAAAAAATAAAGCTCACTCCCCATATCAAAACTGACACCATACAGATCAAGGATTTAACAGAAATATAAAATTTTCCTAAACAGTTTGTACATTCTGGGTGATGGTTTAATGGATGTTTAACAGTTTCTGAGTTTTCCTGTATTTTAAATTTTTTCATTAAAAAGAAACCATAAGAGTACTATTTTAAAATGTCGGATACTTTCTGTATCATTTATGAGAGGGGGAAGTCCTAACCAAGACACAAAATTCAGAAATCCAAAAAGAGAAAACATATTTATTCACATAGAAACTAAAATCTTTCTGCAAGGAAAAATGAAGCATAAAAATGTCACAGACCCAAAAAAACACAAACAAGGAAAAATATTTTCAACACATTCAACAAAGGAATAATATCTTAAGGTATAAGTAGTATTTAGAAATCAATGAGGAAAAAAACCAACAACTCTAAAAGAAAAATGAATCAAAATATGAATAAGAAGTTTACATGAAAATAAGTATCAATGACCTATAAGCTCATTAAAAGATGCTCAATCTCATTAACAATCCAAGAAATATAAATTAAAACAACAACAATACATCATTATTACTGAAGCTCAAAAACTGAGCTATACACTGCTCGTCAAGGATAAGGGAAAACTGGGTTCTCTCACACACACTGTGAGGATGTAATTAGTATAACTGCTATGCTTGGCAAGAGGTATCAATTTTAATTACATATACCCTTTGATCTAGCTACTCTGCTTCTAGAATTTCATCTTTCTGGGTTTATTTATTTGCCCATATGAGCACAGCGGAGTATACGCAGATGTTCACTGTAGTTTTATTTGTAAAAGCAACAGACTGGTTAAAGTGCAGTACACACATATATGAAATGGTACACTGGCATTAAAAGTATAAGATATGTTTTCACTTGCTGATAAAGAACTATGTTTAAAAGCTGTATATAAGAGAAAGGAAGGCATGTAACTGTGGGGGTGTGTAGTATGTGTGTGTACACATGCTCCCACTATGAAAAGAAAGAAACATAAAAAACCTATGTGCCTGCAAATTCTAAATGGATACACAAATAACTATCCATGGTGGCTGCCTCTGAGATGGGAAAATTACTTATTATTTCCTATAGTACTACATTTACTAGACACTGTTAGATATTTTTTCACAATATACAAGGAATTGCTCTTCTCAATATTAAAAACACCACCACCGTGATCAGCATGAGATGAGGGATTCATGTATGACATGAGTTCTCCTATAATACAGAATGTCAGCAGTGGGGATCTGTAGGTTGTGGAATTATATTGACATGCTTCTTTATACTTTTCTGAACTTTCCACTTAATTAAGTGAATACATACTACTTTTCTATATCTGGAAAAAATGGATTAAAATGTAATCAAATTTTTTAAAAAATTTCATTACAAACACAAGCCAAGAATCTAAATGGGTGGTTCACAGAAGAGATACAAACAGCCATAGGAAATACGAACATATGAAAAGATGATCAATCTCACCAGCAGTCAAGAAACTGCTAATCCAAAAGAGATCATTTTTTTACTGACTGGACAGGCAAAAATTTTAAAGAGACTATTTCACACGTTGGGAGGTCGAGACAAACAGGCACTCTTATACACCACTCCTGAAAATGTCAAATGTTGTGCATGTTCTGCAGGACACTTGGGCAGTATCTATCAAACACTGAAAGGTGTCATCCTTGACCACTACTTCCACGTCAAGGAGTTCCATCTTGCAGACACACTTGGGAAGTGTGCCAGTGGGGAGGAAAGGAACATCTGACTTTTTTATGTATGTACTTTTATATTGCTTGAGCTTTTCTTTGCCATTTTAATTATTTTATATTATTTGCCATTTTAATGAATTTGAAATAAATCAACATATTTCATTTTACATGCATCTATAAAATACTAATGTATCCTTTCACACTTATTTATGACAATGGGAATGTTAAAAGGAAAAAAGCATGGTGCTAAGGGGAGCCCCTTCCACGTGGCGCACAACAAGTGGGGCTGAGCATCTAGATACAATACCCTACAAGAAACCCAGCTGCCAACTCCAGTGTGATGGCTAAGAAAACTGAGAGCGCAGCAGAAGCCCCTCCCATTCCATCTGTCTCCTTACCTCTCCTGCAGGCCACACAGCCCCTCTCAGGAAAGGATCAAGACAGCACACCCGGCTGCTGACATTTCATTGGCAGGTACTTACGCTGGTGGCAGGGCCAGTAAAGTGGCTGTGCGTTTATACCACCAAATCATTTACTCAATACGCATTCAGCAAGTACCTACTATGTGTCAGGTACTTTGCTAGATACTAACTATATTTTCAAGGGAGTCAGAATTCTGGCTGGGGAGAGACCATGTGTTACTAATTATACAGCAATGGAATAAATGAAGAACGTCTTCTCCGCTGAACGTAATCTCCCAGGAAGCACAGGTAGTGCCCTGTTCATCACTGTGACCCCTCTGCCTGGGGAGTGTCCAGCAAACCCTGGGCACAGAGTAAATGTGTGCTGCATCAACTGAGTAAGGGCACACACAAGTGCTAGGAAGCCTAGAGGGAGGAGTAGCTCCCTCTACCTACAAGGTTCCACCACAGAAGACAGAATGTACGAGCTGCATTTTAAAAACTGAGCAGTCAGGCTAGAGAGGAATAAAGCCTTCCAGGCAGGGACCAGCAGACCTCAAAACAGAGACACATGAAAAACCACATTATTCATGGAATACAAAAGGTTTGCTAGGTTAGAACTTAGAATATACGTTAATGAGTGGCAAGACGGAAGACTGATGAGCTTGAGAACAGAGCAAAAAGGATCTGTAGACCATGCTCGAAAGTCTGCTTTTATGGGAAACCCTTTAAGAATTCTAGGCAGAGAAGTGACAAGGGAATTGTGTTTTAGAAGGCTCAAGCTGGCGCATTGAAGAGTATGACACGAAAGCAAGGGGGAACTTATTTGGCATCTACTTCAATGGTCCAGTGTAGTGGTTCTCAACCACTGTGACTTCACTGCCCAGGTAACATCTGGCAATGCCAAGAGATATTTTTGGTTATCACACTAGGAGGAGTGGGGATGGGTTAGTGCTACTGGCATCCAGCAGGCAGGGATCAGAGATGTTGCTAAACATCTTACAATGCACGGAAGCCCCCAGAAAGAATCATCTCGCCCCAAATTTCAACAGTGCTAACGCTGAGAAACCCTGGTCTAGTGAGAAGTGAAAAGGGCCACAGTTAAAGCCACAGGAATAAACAGGGGACTACTGAGAACAAACCATGTTGGATTCACAGGCTTATGGATGCTAGAAAGAGGTCAGGGATAACTGAGGTTTCTAGTTAGGTGAATGGGTAAAGGGTGGTGTCAGTAAGCAAGGCTGCAAGGACAAAAAGAGAAGTAGCTGAGAGAATGGTAGAAACAGCAACTCTGAATGTACTAAATATAAAAATTTCCATGGGGGAGAGGGAATGCGCAGGGATGGTGCCTGCCAGCCTCTGTCCATGAAGGGTATTCCAGTAGGCCCCTAGATGTGTGCTAAATTGGAGGCCTGCCCCCCAGACCAATGCTTTATGTTAAGCAAACAAGCCTTTTTCACAGCAAGTCTGGGTGCTTTTCAATTGGCTGCCTCTGCACTGGGCCTTCAGGGGCAGAATCTCAATCATAGCTGTCAGGGACAATACAGACTGTTAAAAACCAAGCAGAATGAGGCAAAAGAGAATAACCAACCAAGATATCTTCCTCAAAATGATACCAGATGGCCAAGAAATGAAAAATCTCATTTTCAAAGGAACACCCAAAATTCAAAGTCAATCTTAGAACTAGGCAGCGGATTACCTAGACACAGAGGTTCTGAAAGACCGAGCACTTCTCCAAGATCTGAAGTACAGGCTGCAGAGATGGAATGTGACAGACCACATTCGAGATGTGACAGAACTGAAGCTACTCCACATCATCTAAGTTCTCAGCACAATGATGCTGCTTTAAAAAAGAGGGGTAGCTCTATGTAAAGCAGATCAGGAAAAGGTCCATACTCTGCAGAGGTGAAAGAAAATCCACTTCCCTCAAGAATCCATAAATTATACTAACCAAGAATGTGGGAAAAGAGAAAACCAAACAGCAAATCCTGATCATTTTTATGACAGGAACCACAACAATAAATAATGATGCTTTCAGTGCTGTAAAACCTGAAACACATCTCAACACTAGTACTGATTATCAGAATCTTGTTGGAACTAACAGTTTCACTGGTGCTCCAAATGGAGAGACAAACATGCCACTGAAGGGAAGGCCAATAGGACCTACTAAGCCAGACCCATCATAGCTACACCCTACTGATGATAAAACAGTTTATAGCACTGTGCCCAAAAGAAGATCCGGGTCAATTAAACCAGAAACATTACTGGAATCACTTATTTCTATGGCGAATGCAAAACTGTGGAAACCTGGAGGAAAGTGTTTTGCACTTTATTGGAAGACACAAGCTTTACCGAGCAGAAGCTGCAACTCCATTCTTCAAGTATGACAGCAGTGTATGGAAACTGTGAAGTGCTACTAAGCAACAATCGGCCCATTCAAATAGAGGCAGGGAGGAAGACCGCATCTACAACCAAACTCCTGACCTCCGCAGAGGAGGTGATGGCCAGCCAGGATGATGCACTCAGCCAATCCAACAGTTCTACCAACCTCCCCAGGCTCAGAACTAATAATGAGAAGAGTCTTTGCGAAGAAAGAGTGGTGACTGAAATATCCTGGTCAACACCTGTTGCCAGACCTCCTACTTTCCCAACAGAATAAAATGCAGCCATGGTGGATATTATCATTTGGAGAATGAAAAAGTAGATTTTAGGGGAAAAAAAATTCAACCCACACAGAGAATGAGGAAAAAATGTGCAGTTAAATAAAGCAAAGAACTTTTACAAGTGAAAGAGAGAATTCTTCCTTCTGCCATCAATAAAACCAATGTGCTGTTATAAAAATAAATAAATAAATAATTTAAAAGAAATAAAATAGAAATAAAATTTTAAAATCTCAGTGATAGAAATACTCTCACTTGATCTAAGATTATCTTCCTAGCTGAAATTTTTATAAATACCCAAGTTTCCGTTAACCTTCCCACCTCCGATCCTTAAAGTCATGCCCACAGTCAGCCTGCAAATCCTCTGGCTGAGTCCGCAGTGTGTTTTGTGGTGTTTAAGGGAGGCAAAGAACTCACCTGAGAGGTTCACTAGGCTTCGCTCAGCTGTTTGTCGCAGAGTCTCCCCGGGCTGCCACTCTGCCTGTGGCAGCATCCACAGATCCTGGTCTCCAAGCTTCTCTTTTATCAACAGAATAAGGTTCCTGTCCAGTTTGCGGTGCAATGAGGTTTGGTCATTCTTTTCATCGGCTTCTGCAAAGAAAACAGGGGGTCAGAGGAGACAAGAACTCTATGACCTGCCAGAACCAAGAAGATTAGAGTTTTACAGTCCTTCTTTAAGGTAGAGCCACAACCTTGGCCCTCAAAGAGCTATTGATCAAATTACAACCCTGACCCGTCTCTCTAACTCTGGCCCTCTCTCAAGATAGTCTCCCAATCTTGAGGAAACTAAACTGTAACGAGAAGAAACCAGAAGCTGAACTCTTCCTTTGAAGAGCAAACTATAAAGTACTTTGAGCCTTTGGAAAAGCAATACCCAAACACTATTTCTTTGGTTTGGACACTCTTACTGACTTAACCAGTCCCTACTTTCTCTGTTCTTTGGTCTTCATTATGAAACAAAGATAAGAGAACTCATTCCCCTGCTTTAGGATATATTTCAGCTAAAACACAGGAAACTAACGGTAAAGGCTTAATTCCTGCCCTCTTAGTCCCAAACTAGGAGTTAAACTCAGATAATACCCATGAATTTTAACTGAGACAGAAAAGGCTATCCCAAAACTCTTACCTCCCAGTCAAAAATAACAGACTTTTTAAAAAGTAAACTAGGGTAGATGTGAGGAACAGGGAAAAGAATTCATTTTTCTTTTACCTGAAAGAAGTTTTGTCATCCAAAATCATTTGTAACTTAAAACACAAAGCAGGGGTGAAGCAACTGTCCTCTGTTTGGGAACCATACCACCCACCTTTCCATACCTCTAACTGGCCTGAATAGACCACAAACCTGTTATTCGAGCCCCAGGTTTGAACTGTAGGAATTTCTGCTCCCACATGTCTTCCAAATCTTGAGCCAGCAATATATTTTGCTCATCTTCTTCTTCTTCATAAAGGTCACTTTTCCTCTTTTCCAGTTGCTGGGCTTCTTCCAAAGCACGAAGCTCATGGTCTGAATACAGACTTCTCTCTATCTCGATCTGAGAAAATTAAAAGGGCAAAAATCTACCCCAAACTGGGAAAATTAAAAGGACCAAAAAAACAGGCAGACTAAAACAGAGCTACAGCACACCTGACAGACTCAGACTGTTTACCACCCAACATAACCAGACACATAATCAAAACACCACAGTGAAAACAGAGAAAGGATAAAGGTCACCTGCACTTTGGGCCTAAGTTATATTTGCTAAAATGTCTAATTGTGATTGGAGGTCAGGGCTACTACAAAGAACAGGAGACTAGGACAGGCATTGCCTACCCAGTTACCACCCTCTAGTCATGTAAGTCTTTGATCAGAATCTCACTCATCATGGACTTTCCTGCCTCAGGAAGTTTACATATGCTGTTCCTTCTTCCTAGGGTGTTTTAACTCATGCTTTCCTAGGAGATTCCTACTCACCCTCTGGAACTCGATTTAAATATCATTATCTTAAGAAAGATATTCCTTGACACCCCCCATAAAATCAAATTAAGTGTCTCTGTTAAACACTCTTTCTGTACCCTGTGTTTTCCTTTACAATGCTAACCAGAGACTGCAGTTCCACATAGGATTATTTGGTTATTGACTGACACCTCCTCCACTAGCCTGAAGTGCTCTGAGAACCAGAGCTATGTCTGTCTTACTCACCACTGCATCTCTAACAGTTAACATAAGGTCTGTATCAAACAGCTGCTAAATGATTATCTGTAAAGTGATTAATACAATATTTACAGAGTAAATTAAAAAGCACGTAAGTGAGGTTTATATCTCTCAGTAGCCAAGACAAAAACATCACAAGTTCTGGGGAAACACAGTATCTTTTAATCACTCTCTATGGGGATTTAACCCCCCCAGAGCCATTACACTTGTTTTTGCCCATGTTTCTTTATTTGTCCCTCATACAAATAAACTTTATTACTTACTCTTGCAGGTAAGTATACCGAAATTCATAGAACTAAAGTGACTTTCCCAAGGTCACACAGATTAATCGGTACCTGAGTCAGTCTCAAACCCAGGCCAGCGTGCCTCTATTGCTTCCCCAGCTGTGGCCTTGAAGCCATGGCCCGCACCTCAGGTCTCACCTGCTGCAGCAGAGCCGCCATCTCTTCCTGCAAGGGGGTCAGCGGCTTCGAGACCAGAGGTGGCCGCTGCAGGCACAACGCGCCCATCAGGCGCCATGGAGACCCGCTGCTCGAGGGCGCGGCGGCAGGGCCAGGCTGCGAGAACCCAGGCTACGGGGCCAGGGGCCCTCGAAACGCCGCCAGCCTCTCGCCACCCCTAACACAGTCCGCCTTATAGGCGCCGCCATCTTACAACTTTCCCACAAGGTACCGCGCTCCCAACGGGGTTTTGGGCCAATCCCTTGTTCCCACAAGGCAGCGCGGGAGCGGCCAGAAGGGAAGAGCTGGGTTCCCCAGACCTACTAGAACGAACCATTCCAATTTGGAGGGGTGGGCGAAGATCTCATATTAAAAAATTAGGAAAAGTGGGGGATTCCCAGTTGCACTCGTAATGATAGTTATTATGGAGCGTATAATTGGGAATACAAATCTCTAATGTACCTTATGAAGAGAAATCAGATGACTTTTCCTCTGCACCCCCCCCTACTAGCGCTCGTGGTGCTGGCGCCGCTCCAACTCCACCAAGCTCCGCGGTCTCCGCGGCCGGGGCCTGAGTGGGGTCAACTTAAGTCATGCAGGTTGTAAGAAACGCGGGATCTCAGCTCTTGAGGTCATGGGCTTGGCCACCGACTGCCAGGTAAGAATGATTACCCTCTCCGAACCCAGAGCCACCCCCGGGAATGTGCTCCTGCCCGTGTCGCACGAGTCACCTAAACTCCAGTGGTATTTAGGCCTGGACCTCACCGAGCTTTCCTTCTCCGCAGGGTCGTGGCAACAGTGCCGGCCTCCACCATCCACACGGGCGCCCAGCAGCTGCAAGACGCGGCGGCCAAGCAGGAAGTTGAGGCGAAAGCGGAGGCTCCGGCTCCGAGTCGCAGCAGCTTCAGGTGAGGGTCGTTTAGGTCCAGCCCTCCGGAGACTGGCACCACCTTCCAGAGTCAGAACCAGTGAATTCCCAACTCTGTCACTTGCCATCTGTGGGACCTTATGCAGATTAATCTCTGAGCGTCAGCTTTTTCGTCTAAAAATGGAACTAATGCCGATAGAGGTTGTGAGGATCAAATGAGATGAGCCTTGGCACAAGGTGTACGCTCATGAACTTTGTTTCCCTCTGAGACGGGGAATCACAAGACTACCGACCTTCTGGGGCCTCGGACACAAAATTGCTCGGTGAGGAAGTGGGGAGAGGCGGTGTTCACACTAGGATGTAGATTGTTGTGCACTTTCTAGAGTTGGTCCAAGGTCAGGGGTGGTTTTTGTCCTCAGCCCCAGGACTGGCATCTTGCTTTCCACCAATACCACTGCCTCTATGTGCTAGTTGTCCTTCACATGCGTTTAACAAACATTTACTGAGAACCGGCTTGGTGCCAGGCACCATGCTGGGTGCTGGGGATACAAATACAGGGGATGATTTCTCCCCGCAAGTAGTTCACAGCCTACCAGGGAAGACAGACATGCATAATCTGATCAATGGTGTGCTGGAGCGTAAGAGATGGCTACTTTGAAGTGTGAAAGAATGAGTGTCTCACTCCTGAGGAAACCAGGCAGGAGTGCTGGGGAGATCCGAAGCTTAGTACTGAACTGAAGGGGAGTTCAGCTGGACAAGATAAAAGTTGGTTTTAGGCAAAGCTATTGGTAAAGGCATGTGCTATGACATGGTGTATTCAAGTGTGTGTGAGAGGTGGCAGATGAGGCCAGCAGAGCAGGAAAGAATCAGAAAGACGAGGGTCTTTTCTGTAACACTGGGGCTTTTACCCTGCCTCCACTATAGGCAGTGGGGAGCTGCTGAAGGAATTTAAGCCAAGATTGTCTTGTAGTCATTCATTCATTCAGTGACAAAACACGCAGAAATCCCTGCCCCTATGGAACTTAAAGTGGATAGAGGACAGTAAACAAAAAAACAAGTGAAACATACGACAGATTGTAGGGGTGTGCCTAGTGTTTGTGAGCAGCAGCAAGAAGGCGGATGGGAGTGAGGGGTAAAGATAGGAGAAGGGGGCAGAGCGAGCAGCAGGCACACAGAGCTCCATCCTGTTGGCCGTGTGGACCATCGTGAGGACTTCAGCTTATTCGCTCAGTGAGATGGGAAGCCACTGGAAAATTCTGAATAGAGGGTTAACACGATGATGCTTACATTTGAAAGAGTCCCTTTGGCAGCTGTGTGGATATTGAACTGTAGGAAAGCAAAGATGGAAGATGAGAGAAGTCTCCTAAGCAGTTAGAAGACTATTGAAATAACGTAGACAAGAAATGATGGTGGCTTGGACCAGAGTGACAGCTGTAGAGCTGGTCAGACTAATATACTTAGAAAGTGGAACCAACAGGATTTGTTAGCATAAGATGTGAGAAAAGGACAGGAGTGAAGAAAACACTCTAAAATTTTTGGCCTAAACAACTGGAAAGATAGAGTTGTCACTAAGACTACAGGAGTTTTGATTTGGGTCATTAAGTTTGAGACACTTAATTAACATCCAAGTGGAAATACAGTATTGTTTATTAGAAATGGAGTTCAGGGGACAGATTTGGGCTAAAGATATACTTTTGGGAGACTTACCACATAGACGATGTTTAAAACCATAAGATACAAGGTCATCAAGAGAGCAAGTGTAGATAAAAAGAAGAGGTCCGAAGACTGAACCCTGGAGCCCTGTGGCATTTAGAGATTTGGGAGATGAGGAAGAATCAGCAAAAGAGAAAGAATGAACCTCCAGAAAAGTAGTGAGAAAACCTGGAAAGATTTTTCTTTTTTTTAATGATTCAAGATCAGAGAGATCAGCTATATCAAATGCTGCTGATATGATAGGTCCATAGACTGATGACAGAATCGGTCCTTGGATTAAACATTGTGAATTGGTTGGTGACCTTGACTAGAGCATTTCTGGTGGAGTGTTAGGGGCTGAAGTCTGAATGGAGTGGATCCAAGGAGAATAGAAAACAGGAAGAAATAGCAAGTATGGTCCGTTCTTTAAGGGGTTTCTGCTGTAAGGGGGAATAGAGAAATGGGTATGAGCTTGAGGAGGCTTTGAAATCAAGAGGGTTTTTTTTTCCGTTTGTCTTTACTTTGGGGAAATGACAGCATGTTTTGCTGATGGGAAAGATGCAGTAGAGAGGAGAAAGGATGATGATGCCAGAGCAGAAACATTGCCGGAGTGCTGTCCTTGAGAGGCTAACGCACAAGTGGAGCATCATAGCAGGAGAGGAGGCAGAGTGTGGACACAGATGTTTGATAGTGGGAGCTAGAAGGAATTCTGATTGCTTCTATTTCTCTGTGAAGGTCATCAGCTGGCAGTGAGGAAGCAGGAAGGAGTTGGCGGTTTGAGGAGACAAAAGAAGGTATAAAACAGTCATCTAGGACAGTGGAAGGATAACTGAACTGGGGATGTGCTGTATGATTGCCAGGCAGTGCTGAGGGCCCACTTGATGTTAGAAGTCATTAAAATAAAGCAGTGGTTCTCAATCTGGGGCAGTTGTGTGTCGAAGGGGATTTTTAGCAATGTCTGGAGACATTTTTGGTTATCACAACTTGAGGGACAGTATCTAGTTGAGTAGAGGCCAGCATGCTGCTGAACACCCCATAATGTGCAGGACAGCCCCCCTCCCCCAATAAAGAATTATCTTACCCAAAACGTCAGTAGCACTGAGGTTGAGAAGCCATGGCACAGAGAAAGAACAGTCAGCACTACTGTGTTTCTCTCTAGCCAGCTGTGCAGGTCCGTGCGCAGGCTCAGAGCGGCTGGGGCGGGGACTTAACCAGGGCTAGGGGCTTGCCAAGACAACGCAATGAAGTAAGAGGGGTCAGAGAATTAAAGGTATATGCAAGGGAGTGACTATAATGATTGTCTGTGGAATTCACTCAAGGTCAGGAGAGGAGTGAAAGTGTGAGGGGTGTGAGGGCAAGTGAAAGGGTGGTAGGATCAGTGGGACTGAAGGGTTCCTGGAGGGAGGATAGGAAAGGAAGCCAGTGGGTATGCCAAGGGGTGGTGGCCAGAGTGTGATGCTTGCAACCAGGTAATGATGGGGTTGCAGGAGTGGTCGTGACAGGGACTAGCTGTGACCACCGGAGTAAGTAGCCAGGGTAGGATAGAAAACAGAGGAGTACTGGAGAAAAGGAGGTCAAAAAAGGATCTTACTGAAATCATACGTATAATCGTGACAGGAGTAGTGAGCAGGAAGCTGTCATCTTTGCATTTTTCTATATTATTTGCATTTTTTAAAAATCATCTCTAGCTGCAATTAGAAAATGGGCTGAAGAGCATGAAGTAGAGCCTTCTCTATTGAGAGCAGAACTACAGCTTACCCACCCCAGATTCCAAAAGCTGCCACATTCATGTCAGGGTCAATGTGCGTTGGTTTTGCCCAGGGATCAGCAAATTCTCACGCCTGAAGTGCTAACAGCAGAAGTCAGCCCCCAGACCCTCAGCCAGAGAGAACAGCGGGCTGTTTTCAGGCCTCTCAGCCGTTTGGAAGAGATGCCATGTGTGCAGACCTGGTGTGTGGATGGGTATGAAGGGGCAGCAGACCAGCACCCAAAAGCTTTGTCTTTCCTTTTCCTGGGCTGCCTCAGGATGAACCACTTGTTCGTTTGTACACTGGACCTGGGAGGCTTAAAAGCTTGATCTTATCTGCACCTTCAACTAAATGATTCAAGCTCTAAATCCTTCCTAGCTCAAAAACTTTGCTCTACATAAAAGGCATCATGCTGGTATGTTCAGACTTTAGAAGGCTTAAGCTTTTGACCCCCGAGATAATAGAGGAAGTTATCGATGGGGAAATGATGATGTTTTAAATGTTAATGTCATCTCAGAGCCTTGAACACTTTCTGTCTCGGCCTGCAGGCTGAGAAGCTGGCAACCTGATGGGATGCTAAATCATCTCTAAGATCAGGCCAAACAGGGAAGAATACACTTGTAACTCTTGAATGCCACTCTGTTATTGTTTTGTTTTTTAAAAAT